ACGCAACTTTGTCCAAGAGAAGAGACTTCAGAAGATCGTCCACTTTGTCAACAAAACGATGAAAGTGGCACCGTATCTAGCAGCCATTGACGTTCTTGTGCAAAACTCACAAGCGAGAGGAGAATGCTTCGGGAGAATAACAATCGAAGCCATGGCCTTTAAGCTTCCTGTTCTTGGTACTGCAGCAGGAGGAACAATGGAGATTGTAGTGAACAGAACAACCGGTCTGTTACACAATACCGGTAAAGACGGTGTGTTACCTCTTGCCAAAAATATTGTGAAGCTGGCGACGGACGTTGAGATGAGGATGAGAATGGGGAAGAAAGGGTATGAGAGAGTAAAAGAGATGTTTTTGGAACATCATATGTCTCATCGAATAGCTTCTGTGCTTAAAGAAGTGTTGCAACACGCAAAAACTCACTCACGAACAACAAATTCGGATATCTAGAACACAAATTTAGCAAGGAAATGCCACTTTATTTAACACTCTCTTGTTGTTTCTCTAGCTTTTCTTATTTATTCTGTTTATAGAGGATACAGTATTATTGACTGGAAAAGAAATTCAATGCGTACAGGCGCATGTTTATTTATTTGAAACTCTTAAATGGATAAAACTGTAAGCGTCGGTCCAACCATACCATGTTAGATGTTTATCAGTAGAGCTTGAAACAAGAAGACCTGTTGAAATGAGGCTTATTGTCGCCAAGCCAATGCTGCATATGAACTCCAATGGCGTCCAAGTAAGAGCTACTTCTTCCATGTAACCCCAACACTTTTCCTTGTGTTGTAGTCGAAGTGAAAAACGTCCCGGTCTCTTCACCGTACGGACCGTACTTGCCACGGCTAGTGTAGAAACTCAGAGACTTGACAACATAAGAATTGTCTGAATTGTTCAGAGGTCCGTAATACCCCGAAATGCAGGTGAGCGTCTCGTTTGGATACTCAAGTTTAATCTGCAAAGAGGGAGATTTGAGTACCAGCATTATAAAATGATTGTGTATTGTGATGCATCTAAAACCAAAAAGTGACGCTATTGATTGTTGTTTACTCTGTGTGTGGCGACTCCATTGTTACCACCACCATGTTTAATGGACCAAACAGACTGTCCATTTCTGTCGTACTCGACTTGTAATGAAGATATAGCATCATTTGATCTTGTTACAAATATCTGCTTGATCCCTGAAAACACTCCATCGTCCCAAGGTTTACCTCCATTGCCTCCCCACGGTCCCGGCCCACTCGGTGTTGGTTCTTTGACGACTCCACGCTCCATCTGTGAAAATGATAAAATCCAACAAGGAAGCTGCTATTAGAGTGCTCAATCCAAATAAACCAAATGTACAAATCCAAAACAAAACGAGTTTACTATGGTGATGGTTTACAAAGTTACCTCTTCGCCATGACCGTTTGCTGCAAGGACCAGCTTATTAGCCCACGGGGAGTTTTCGATTTCTGCCACGCCCGACTTGTTATGAGGAACAATTGCATTGTGATGAGGAGATGGCTTAAGGGAACTTATTTTGCATTCCATAACATGAACACCAATGGAATCAAGGAACAGACCCTCTCTTCCAGTGAACCCAACAACTTTGCCCTCGTCGATTTTATGGGCGAAAGAAGGTCCTTGCTCTTCACCAAAAGGTCCATGCTTTCCTTTGTTTGTGTGGAAAGTCAGTGACTTTACCACACTAGGTCCCATGTAAATCAACGGTCCATATGTTCCCGTTACATGTGTTAAAACCTCTGATGGGTAATCAAATACAACCTGCAAATTTTATTCAAACCAAAAACAGAGAGACTGTGATATATGAAGATGAAGTGTAATTTTAGCTTAAACAAACCAAGAAAAGGTTTCAAATTCACACACCTTATCATGTCTGAATCCTCCCCTGCCACCATGCTTGCTTCCCCACACAGCTTGTCCTCTAAAATCATAACAGACCTTCATCGATACAATCCCGACACTGCGTGACAAATTGATTTGTCTAATGCCGGTATAAATCCCATCGTCAAACATGATACCACCGGTTCCACCCCATGGTCCATATGTTTTGGCACCACCTTCAGCTTTGTGCTGCAGCTTCTCAGTATCTGTCACCAACTGATGAAAACAAATTTCATGTTAAAATCGATAAGACTTCAGTGTTTTTTACATGTATAAGTCTTGGAAATCACCTTATGTCTGGTGATCTCAGCACCTGAGTGATCTCGGGATCCAAAAGTAGGCAAAGGTGACCCTTTCTGTTTGAGTGCAACAACTATATCAAAGTTTTGGCCTACACTTCCGTGCATCACTGAGTACTCGAATTTCTTATCACCATGGTGGGCATTTTGATGCGAGTGCAAAACCATTTTCGACGTGGGATTATTCTCCTTAGGAATTGGTTGAATGTGAACACCAATAGCATCCAAATACCAACCAGCCTTCCCATGGAACCCAACAATCTTCGACTCTGATTTTGGCAATGAGAAGTAAGTACCTGACTCAACTCCAAACGGTCCATAACTTTTTCGGTTACTCTCAAAGGTAAGTGACCGGACGCATAGATTCCCCCAGACGTCAAATCCACTATAGGTTCCTTTAACTGAAATCAGATACTCATGCGGGTAGTCAAGTTTCACCTAAACAACAAGAGAACAGTGATCAGTTTCTGAAAACTAAGAGGGATTACGGAAGGGATAAAGAGTCCCTTTGTCTTACCTTATCAAAGTTGGCGCCTCCCTTTCCTCCACGTTTTTCAGACCAAACCGAGCTACCGTTCCTGTCATACTCAACTTGGATAGAGTCTATACCAGTACCATGAGCTACAATTATTTGCCTTACTGTGGTGTACATTCCATCATCCCAGGTATGACCACTTTGGCCTCCCCATGGACCAACTGATGCAGGCTTGCCTTCAACACTCTGCAACAACGAAATTCAAGTTAACTAATCATATAGAGGAAAATGAAGAATGAGGCTAGACAAAAGATGTTGCAAATACCATCCTCAGATTAAGATTATCTCAAAAGACTCAATGCAAGTGAGGGAAGCTCAAGTAAGAGATAGTTGACTACTGCAATACATAGCTTAGACATTTGATGGGAATTTATGATGGATGAAAAGGCTACGTGTGTGGGTGGGGATTTTCAGAAATATATAAAATCAAGTTGCAGAATACACGTTAATTACACGCAACTCATTCTCGGTTCCACTAACAAGGGAAGTCATGGGAGGAAAAAAAGAATCACATTCTTCAAAGAATCATATCTCCATTGATGACAAAAACACGCACTATTGAACCTTTCCTAAATCGGTAAAGCTCCCTAGCTGGTGCCCATATTAGTAAGAAAAATTAGATTCCAAGGTACCACTAAAGTTTAGGACCTTTCAAAGTCCAACTAAATTTACTCAAGCCATGAGCTAACTCAATAATCTCTTAAACTGCAGTAAAAACTATGAGGATGATGCATTACGTGGTTATGTGGTTAAAAAGACTGCTTAAATCAAGTTAAGTCGTACCTTAGTGGTTGGCTAATCACTTTACCAATAATCTTTACAGGAACAATCTCCATTCTTAAAGTGGTGCAAGCATCTTGTGTCCTCCAACAGTATGTCAAAGCCATATCTCTTAGAGGTGTACTTTGCGGTATCATGGCAATCGCGGCACATCCTGAGATTTTTCAAGATTCTTATCGTCTTAGACCCACCCGATGAGGATATTAGACCAAAAGCCATGGCAAACTTTTCGCTGTGGATTCCACAAGTTGCTTCCCTTCCTTCTTCCTCAATCCAAAGTTCTCCGTTATATTGGTCACTTCTATCATCCAGTCTACACATTTTCTCCACCCAGGGATACAGTACATCAGTGCATAACTTCGACTGATCACCTGTGGTGAATGTGAAAATTGAATTCCTGACTTCAATGCAGCTCTGCCCAAGAGGTTTCTTCAGCAAGTTCTCTTTCCTCGGCTTCTTTCCTTCTAAAGATCTCCCAAGTTTTGCACCTAATGCATAGATCATCGATACCATATTTTCAATGCTCGGGTTGTCAGGTTCCAAGGAGAACAAGTGCTCTGCTGCATGGATTGCCAAGTCAATATCACCATGAATCCTGCAGCCAGTTAAGAAGCTTTCCCAGATGGGAGTCTCTGATTGAACATTCATCTCCTGGATAAACTGCAAAGCTTCTTCAGGTCTGTTTGATCGTCCGTACAAAGTAACCATAGCAGAACAATGTCCGTACAAAGTAACCATAGCAGAACAATGTTCCAGAGCAGGAATGATATGGTAAACATCCGCTATGCTGGAGAAGACTTTCTTTCCTTCGTCTACATTTCCCATTAGACCATGTGCAAGGATAATACTCGCAAGTGTTCCCCTATTTGGCTTAATCCCCAGTGTCTTCATCTGTTCAAAAAGATCAAGAGCTGGACCATAGCTACCATGATAAACATAACCTCCAATCAGCGAGTTCCAAGTTATGATGTCTTTCGTTTCCATACCCTTGAAGATGGTTCTTGCGTATTCTATATCCCCTGACTTAGCATAAGTATCTGTCAAAGCGTTTTTAACAGCATGAACAGCATCTAGCTTTCTCCGCAATACACAACCATGTATCTCTCTTACCATTTTGCTCCCAAGAAGATTGGCACAAGCAGGTAAGAGACTTAGAATGGTAACTGAATTTGGAGTGAAGCGAGAAGCCTGCATTTTCCGGAAAAGTTCCAAGGCTTCGTCTTTCTTTCCGTTTTGTATGTAACCCGCAATAATCAGGTTCCACGATGCAGTATTCCTCTGAACTTTCCCATCTTTCTCTATCCTCTGAAACAGATCCATAGCCTCACCTTCGTCTCCATTCCTAATATATCCAGAGATCATCGTGTTCCATGTGATGATATTTGGTTTCACATTTTCCTCTTGCATCCTTATAAACAACTCATAAGCCTTCCCACAATATTCCGCTTGGCAATACCCTGTGATCATCGAGTTCCAAGTATACACATCCTTAATTTTCATCGAATCAAAAACCTTCCTTGCATCTTCAAGTTTCCCACACTTAGAATACATATCAACCAGAGAGTTTCCCACAAGCAAATCCTCCATAAAACACATCTTCACAGCGATAGAGTGAACTTCTGATCCCAAGTTCAAAACTTTCAAACAAGAGCAAGCAGAGACAGCACTCATAATAGTGACTCCATTCGGCGCAACACCAGCTAAAAACATCTTCTTAAACGTATCCAAAGCCTGATATCTCTTCCCGTTATGAATCAACCCCGAGATCATCGCTGTCCATGTAAACACATCAGCAGTTACACCAAAACTCTCCATCTTCTGCATCAAATCCAATGCAGCTTCGCATTTCCCAAGCTGGTTATAACCACCAATCAGTATGTTCCAAGTAACTAACCCTGGAGCAATCCCTTCTTTCTCCATCTCCTCCACCAATCCTACAGCTTCTTCATGTTTACCGTTTTGGCAGTAAGCTAACAGTACAGAGTTCCAAGCAACCACATCTCTCTCCTTCATGCGTCTGAAAAACTTCGTAGCTAAACTCAATTCACCGCATTTCGCATACACAGCTAAAATCGAGTTGCTAACACGAAGACACGACGTCATGCCGAGTTTTATCACCACCGAGTGAATCAACTTCCCAGTCTCAACATCACCGCAATTCGCACATCCCTGCAATATCTTGGGGAACAAGAAATCGTCAGGCAAAACTCCGTCTTCCATCATCAGACGAAAGAGCTTGGAGACTTCTTTCCACCGAAGCTCTCTCGAGTAAGCACCAATCATTGCGGACCACGTGTAGAGGTTTCTCTCACGCATTGAATCGAACACCTTACGGGCGTCAACTAAACCCCCGCATTTCGCATACATGCTCAACAGCTTCGTCTCCAGGAAGACGTCCGGTTCGGGAAACAAACCGAACCGAGCATGGAGGATGCGACCCAAATGGATTGAGCCGGAATCGATGCATGATTCTAGCAAGTTGAGGTAAGTGCTTCGTTTTACCTTGGATCCTTGTTGGAATATCGAGTCTATAGCTTTCTCAGCTTCGAGCAGACTTCCGTTTCTACACAAGTAGTACAGTTCCTCGTCGGGGATGATAATGGGCTCTTTCTTCTTGATGAAAGAGAGGTTTTTCTTTCTGGATTTTGGATGAACCTCAGGCGAATTCTCAACCTTTGCTGGAATTTGGTAATTCAAACAAGTTTTGGGAAATGAAGGTATGAAGAGCTTCGACATTATCTACAAATGCTGTTTATAAACTTGTACGAGGATTCTTCTCCTTTCTTCTTTTTCTCTTTGGTTTTCCAAAATCTCCAACGAGAATTTACAGATTACACAGTATGCACAACAAAGAAGAAGATAAGGAAGAAGGAGAAAGAGCCTCGGTAAGTGAATCCTTTGGCAAAAAAATATGAAAACGTTTGGCGATAAGAATATCAACGTCCACTAATATTTTAACACGTGGCACATGGGTGCTCACATAAAAAAATTCTCTAGTTTCAGCTCAGACAGATATCATAATTTACAGCTTTGCAAGGTCTCTCAACTTATTCGATTTCAGATATCCAAATTATGTATTGTAGCAATCATTCAGAAGAATCCGTTTCGCTGGTTTGAAAATTCTGACAGAAATTTTGGTCTATTGAGGTAGAAACATCAACAGATCACATTAAGCAAAAGCCATTGAACAAATAGCAAAAGCATGGTCTTATGTATATTTTGGTGCAGACTCGAAACAGTCAAGAGAGATCACATCTTCTAGATTATTCATCTACATCTACAATATCCCCAGTACGATAGCAACATTTAAGAAAACAAATTCGACCTTATTATAACCAGTACGCCTTAAAACCGATTTCAAGCAGTGGCAACACCAGTATGCTTCACGATTGCCGCATGGAGATCTTCCTTCTTTGCACCAACGAGCTTATCCACAACATTGCCGTCTTTGATGAACACAAAGGTCGGCATTGCCTCCACAGCAAACTCTTGAGCAACACTCTGTTAAAAAATTACAAGTATATAGAAAGAATGTATCACTCACACTGAGGCAGAGTTCTAGAACCTAAAGGAGTGGCGAGATTTTCAATAAAGAAAGTATATTGTTTTGTGCTTCACCTGAAGTTCATCGACATCCACCTTGAAGAAGATGGCACTTGAAATGAACTTCTTGGCCAATTCCGCGAAAATTGGAGCAATCATCCGGCATGGTGGACACCATGAAGCTGTGAAATCTATCACAATCTGAAAACATATGACAGTATTAGAGGACTCAATAATCTTTCAAAATGAATTAAATTACTGCAAGAGCGAAACGAAGAACACAACAAAAGACACAAAAATGAATCAATGAAAAGACTAGATCGTGTTCATGCTAACGAAAGCATACAACAAAAAATATCATATAGTTTTATTGAAATCAATTACACATCTAACTCAATGTAAAAGAACAGAGAAAGAGATTTCACTCATCAAAACAATGATTATTCACGGATTCAATCGTTTTCCATCGCAGATCGGTCGATCTCTGTCGTGATCTCTCTGAAACAATCCGTTTATTCCACTTTACCGCAACCGAAATCAAAACGACAAAACCTCGTGAAATCTGTATCTATCGAGCGAAACATAAACGCTAATTTTTCAATGACACTACAATCATGAACAGAAACCGTAATCAAACCAATCGCACGCGTGAAATGACGAAAACCTAATTCCCAAATCATTTACAGACGAAAAAAAGGCAGAATTGCATAACAAAGACGGAGAATCCTCACCAGCTTGTTGGATTCCTTGGCTTTTCCGAGCTGCACGGTCCACACATCGTTCGTGTGGCAACCGATCACTTGTCCTTCTTCTGCCGCCATTTCTTCACCTTCTTTCGAATCTGAGATTAGGAAATACCAAAATTTTCCGAATCACTTTTTTCCTCTCTTCAGTTCCTCTCTGTGAAGAAGCTACGTGTACATCATATAAAGGACGAAGAAGATATTTGACAGAATTACCCCTTCATATTTACGGTTACTACGCAAATAGCTTCCACCTGGGCCGTTGGCTCGCTAACGCCATGCATGTATGTACACACGAGTCTTCGGTGTCGAAAGTTCGAATTCGCTCCTCCTCGTGTCGTATTTATTTATTTATTTAGTCGACAAATCAGCAACAAATTTCTGTAGTCACACGAATAAAATAAGATATTTTTTCCTCAGCAGATAAGATTTAATTTAAAATAAGAAAATTTCAATTTCTAATCCCTTCTTCATTTTGTGGCTTACCGCAGCTTCCCCTCTTCCTCTCCTCCCTTCACTCTAATGGCGCTTCCAAGCGCAGTCTCATCTCCTTCCTTAAAATCCACGCCGCCGTGTGTCTCCGCCTTCTACACTAAACCTGTACGTCTCCAGGCTACTTACCGGAGTGGTTATAACCTTCGAAGCTGTAAGCTCAGCTCCTTCCGATGCTCATCGTCGTCGTTCTCCGAGAAGCACCACAACGTGAACCCGTCCAAATCGGATGACCTCGTCGAGCTCCCTCTCTTCCCACTACCTCTCGTCCTCTTCCCCGGCGCAACAATCCCGCTCCAGATCTTCGAGTATCGTTACCGCGTAATGATGCAGACGCTCCTTCAATCCGATCTCCGATTCGGCGTCGTTTACTCCGACGCTGTATCGGGTTCCGCCGCCGGTATCGGATGCGTCGGAGAGATTATAAAGCACGAGCGGCTCGTCGATGATCGGTTCTTCCTAATCTGTAAAGGCCAGGAGCGATTCCGCGTCACGGATCTCGTCCGTACCAAACCTTACCTCGTCGCGAAGGTGACGTGGCTGGAGGATCGACCTTCCGGGGAGGAGAATCTGGACGAATTGGCGAATGAGGTTGAGGTGCTGATGAAGGAAGTGATTCGATTGTCGAACAGATTGAATGGGAAACCGGATAAGGAAGCGCAGGACCTGAGGAAGAATCAGTTCCCGACTCCGTTCTCGTTCTTCGTCGGAAGCACGTTCGAGGGAGCTCCAATGGAGCAGCAAGCACTGCTGGAGCTTGAGGACACGGCGGCTAGGTTAAAGAGAGAGAGGGAGACGCTGAGGAATACACTCAATTACTTGACCGCAGCTTCTGCAGTGAAAGATGTCTTCCCGTCGACATAGTTATATTGGTACCTAAAAACTTTCTGGTCTTTCTTCAGCGTTTTCAGTTATTGGATACACTAAATTTATCAGTGTGTAAAGTTTCAGAAACGTAGGTAGTGAAAATGCTTTATAGAATGTTATAGTTGGATTGATCAGAAAAAGTGTTTCACTTGATTGCCTCTATGATCAAAGAATAGCCTACTGATGCGAGTATGGTTCTTAATATCAAATCCTGGCTTTTCGAGTTTGCAATTTAATCGAAAGCCTGTAGAGATGCGATCTATAGTGATCTGAGTTCTGGTGCCAAATCCTTTATCGCCTCTATGATCATTGGATCATGTTGTTGGATTGATCAAGAAAAGGGTTTTTCTTGATTGTATCTATGATTAAAGAATAGTCTATGGTTCTCAATACCAAATCCTTTCTTCTCAGAGCTGGCATTTTGATTCAAAGCATGTAGAAATGCTATCTGAAGAAGTATGCTTGATCAGAGTTTCAATTCCCTAGAGCGTTGTAATACCAAAATTATTACATTGATGATTTATTGGGGAATGCTAAACACATGCTTGGTATAATGATGAGTGTTTTGTTTTGGTGTTAGAAGATGAAATGCTACTAGTATTAGTTGATTTGACTTTGTGAATCTGCTGACACAGGTTAGATACGCTAACTTAAGCTATGCCTCTATACAACTATGGTTGCCTGAGTTTCTTTGTCAAACCATGTGCTCATAGGTTGAGGAAGAGAGTGGAGTAGAGTGATTGAGAGATATTGCGTTGTGTTATTTGAATTAGGGGTCCACTGTGGTTGAGAGCAGCTTTAATGCCTATGGACCATAGTCTGCTCATCAATGTTGAAAAGATAGAATAGGGTCTAATGGGTGTTAGCGTCGTAGAAACAGTGTGGGGGCGTTTTTTTACCGTCAAACGCGGTGGTTGCTTTCAAGGAGAGGTGTATCGTCAATCAACCTGTGTGTGTCTAGCTTCAGCCACAAGTTGGAATAGTTCCGTTGTCTTTGTTTCTCCATAACGCAAGGGATCATAAATCCAATTCTGAATATCGTTAACAAAAAAAAAAACGAATCCTGAATATCATCAAGCAATCGAGTTTGTCGAAAATTGCTTGAGTTTTGTGAAGTGAGTGGTAACGAAGCAACGCGGAAAAGTTGAAAACGACGACGCGTAGACATGAGATCACTTGATAGTTCTTGATTGACTGACCATTAGGCCGCCAGGGTAGACATCTCTTGTATCATATCATCCACTCAAAACATGACAAGTACAAGTAGATCGAACATTGAAGTCAAAATCACTTAAAATCTCCCACGATCAGAGTTCCAAACAATGGCTCAGAATCAACAACCAATTTCTCAGACCAAGTCCACAGGTACTATATAGTATTTACTAACAATTTTCGCCAGGTGAATCTGTTCTTGATCTCCTCTTGTGCAAACAATTTGATTCAAATTTCTCAACTTTCCACTCTCTTTTGCAGAACATTCTGTGCAGACTCCAGTCAACATCGAGCATGATTCAACCACACTCATAAACCAAACCGGAAACAGGAAACCAACACCAAACCATTGGCCAACGATTATCCTCTCAGTCATCTTCGTCATCGTAGGTCAATCCACAGCTAAACTCCTCGAAAACTTCTACTACGTCCAAATCAATAAACGTATCAACAACGGCGTTTGGACTCAGTCTCTCCTCCAAACCGTCGCATTTCCTCTCCTCCTCCTCCCTTTCATCATCACCACCAAGAACCGACAACAACCTCCGATCACTTCCGATCGATTCCACAGGAAATACCTCGCCGTAACCTACATCTGCATCGGAATTCTCCTGTCCGTTCATGGAAGACTCTCCACAATGGGGAAGCTCAAGCTTTTCGTTGGGGGTTTCACTCAGATCTACACAACGCAGCTCTTCTTCACCCCGATCCTCGCCTGTTTAATCAACAAAATCAAATTCAATCGATGGGTTGTCATCTCCTTGATCTTCGCAATCGCCACCGGAGCTCTCAGTTTCACTTCCTCATTCGGCGGCGAGCCAGGTGACGAGGAGATGAATTACGCAAGAGGCTCAAGAGCGGCGCTGTTCTCCGGCATCTGCTTCTCTCTCCTCCTCTGTAACATCCAAAACGTCTTCGACAATTACATCTTCAAACGCACCGATTCGACAACCAGAAGACCAAGCTTCGCCTCCGTCTTCGAGATCATAATCTTCTCCTCCCTCGTCGCTACAATCATCTCCGCCGTGGGTCTCCAGATCGCCGGTGAGCAACACGAACTGAAGAGAGAAATGAATGGATTCTCCAAGGGGAAAGGCTTGTACGTGATGGCTCTGGTGGGTCAAGCCGTTTCGTGGCAGGTCTACTGGGTCGGTATCGTGGGACTCGTCTTCTCCGTCTCGAGCGTGTTGTCGAACGTGATCAGCGTCATCACGTGGCCGATCGTGTCGGTGCTTATTGTTATCTTTTTCAAGTTCATGGACGATGAGGTCGATGTCTTCAAAGGCGTCGCCTTGGTCACTGCCGCCTTTAGCGCCGCCGCTTATTTCTATAGGCTTCACAAAGAGAATCGTGACAGTGCCAAAGTTTGGGTTCCCCAAATTTATTTTTAAGTTTTTTTTTTTTTTTTTTCATTTTGTGATTTTCACATATTTTAGTTGTTTATCGAAGAAATTTGTAAAAATGTTACCAGAAATCATTCCGTTTATGCTCTCGTCCTGAGAATGATTAGTGTTTGCATTGAAGAAACATTGAATCTGAGTTTTAAAGTTGTGTCAATAATGCATGGCAGTGCGAATAATCATAGATATTGTTTCATAAAACATGACTATCGAAATGGTCGAGATATTCATGATATCTTGATAGGTTCTATACTTATTATTAAGCAGCAATAATACTTCATGATATCGTCCAAGATGTATCAATAATCTGTCCTTGTGTTAATGAATATCCTAGATGTTAAAAGTGTTAGCTGCCAAACTCTATCTATATATTTATGCTCGATAAGTTATTGTTTTGAAGATGATTTCGCAACTCGAGTCATTAAATATCAATAACAATGACCCGTTTTAAGATAATTTATGCCGGGAGCTGCCAAAATGGGCACCGTGTTTTGTCCAACTTCTGTAACGTAGGAAGTTGGAAATGAATAGTCTTTGTTTGTCCATGACGAAAGTAAACAAGTCAACAAATATTCTTTTATGCCATTTCCATTTTCTTAATGATTAACTGAAAACTGAATCATAAATCCAATTCTGATTATCGTTAACATCAAACAAACAAAAAAACAAATCCTGAATAAATATATTATTATATTATCAACCCATCGTTTTCGTCGAAAATTGCTTGAATTTTGTTAAAACAGTGGGTCTTTAATATAATGCAAGTTGATTGCGCCCTTGAATGCTCACTTTAATGGGTCGAATATATTACCAAACCATCTCTTCACTTTCTTTCTTTTTTGGTAACACGAAGCAACGCGGAAAAGCTGAAAACGACGACGCGTAGACATGAGATCGCTTCATTGGCTGACCATTACGCCGCCAAGGTAGACTTTTCTTGTATGTATATAAACAAAACTTCTCCTTCCATTTCCATTATCTCAAAACCATAACATCAATCCACTCAAATATCTCAAAACACAAGCCAATCGGATCTCCGACACTACTTCGACGACAAATTCGTTTAAAATCAAGTCAATCAGAGTTCCAAACCATGGCTCAGAATCAGCAACCAATCTTTCAGACAAAGCCACCAGGTAATAATAAACAACTTTAGCCAAATGATTTTCTTCTTCATCTCCTCCTCCTCTTCTGCAAACAATTCGATTCAAATGTCTCAATTTTCCTCTCTCTTTTGCAGAACATTTTGTGCAGATTCCAATAAATCCCATAAACATCGAGCGTGATTCAACCACACTCATAAACCAAACCGGAAACAGAAAACCAAACCACTGGCCAACGATTATCATCTCAATCATCTTCGTCATCGTCGGTCAATCAATAGCCAGGCTCCTCGAAAACTTCTACTACGACCAAATCAACCGCAGCGGCTACGACGAGAACCGTCAAAACGACGGCGTTTGGACTCAGTCTCTCCTCCAATCCGTCGGATTCCCTCTCCTCATCCTCCCTTTCATCATCCTCACCAAGAAACACAACCGACAACAACCTCCGATCACTTCCGATCAATCCCACTACAAATCCCTCGCCGTAATCTACATCTGCATCGGAATCCTCATCCCGGCTCAAGGAAGACTCTCCGCGATGGGAAGGCTCGAGATTCCATTTGACCGTTTCACTCTCATCTACACGACGCAGCTCATCTTCACTCCGATCTTCGGCCGTTTGTTCAACAAAACCAAATTCAACCGATGGATGGTGATCTCCTTGATTCTCGCGATCGTCACCGGAGCTCTCACTTTATCTTCCGCATTCGGCGGCGAGCCAGACGAAGCGGAGATCAATTACGGACGAGGCTCGTGGGCGGCTCTGTTCTCCGGGATCTGCTTCTCTCTCCTCCTCTGCAACTTCCAAAACGTCTTGGACAATTACATCTACAAACGCACCGAATCGACCACCAGAAAACCAAGCTTCGCCTCCGTCTTCGAGATCATAATCTTCTCCTCCATCGCCGCGTCGATCATCTCCGCCGTGGGTCTGCTGATCGCCGGGGAGCAGCACGAGCTGAGGAGAGAGATGAATGGGTTCTCCAAGGGGAAAGGCTCGTACGTGATGACCATGGTGGGTCAAGCCGTTTCGTGGCAGGTCTACTGGGTCGGGATCGTGGGGCTCGTCTTCTCCGTCTCGAACGTGCTGTCGCACGTGATCAGCGTCATCACGTGGCCGATCGTGTCGGTGCTTGTGGTGATCTTCTTCAATTTCATGGACGATGAGCTCGATGTCTTCAAAGGTGTCGCATTGATCACTGCCGCTTTAAGCGCCGCCGCTTATTTCTTTAGGCTTCACAAAGAGAATCGTGACAGTACGTTTTAAGTTTGGGTCTTTATACATTCTTTTATAAGTTTCTTTTTATAATTTTTCCTTAATTTTGTGATTAATCGTATATTTTTAGTTGTTTATTTGTGTATCTATGTAAGTGTGTGTAAGAGCTTCGGCTGTACTTGTTGATGTAAATTTATTTTTATATGTTATGCTTTTACAATTGGTGGAATAACTCAAGAGTAATGCAAACGATTCTTTACTTAAAATCATTTTTCTGGTCATGAAGCTACACAGAAAGGTTGAAACTTATAAATATGGCCTCACTTCTTTGACTAGTACACTGACAAGTGACAGTGGTGACCTCTCTTTGTATTGAATAAACACCACAAATTAGATTTTCCCAAGCATCGAATCTCTGATTACTGAAGTCAAAATATCTGCAGTCTCCGACATCAGTTCTCCAAGCTCAGTCACAGATATCTGAAACCATGGCCAAGAATCACCAGCTACTAAAAACCAAGCCACAAGCTTGATTTAGCCAAATATGATCTTACTATCAAGTAACAACTACTCTCTCTGTGAATTGTCACGATTCGACCACGCTTATCAACTAATTGTTAATTTACATTCATTTTGTAAGTTTTATAATGAAATGTTTGGAAGTGTGTTTGTATGTTAAAATGAAACAACCTCATGAAAGATGCCTTTTCCCATTATTGATCAAGCTCAAAAGTTCCAACATTTACCTGTTCAGAGAGAAAAATTCCAATTTTTTACAACTTTTTGTTTCTCCTGTTTTCTATACACAGTTTTCTAACGGGGCCTCTTTAGTAGTCTTTAGTGAGCATCTGTTGTGTCTTCTTCGCCAGTATTTTTGTATTCTGGTTTAAGCTCGTAGCTTCTCGCATGGCCATTGTACACACAAAGCTCTCTCAGTATTCCTCTCAAGAATTCCTGAAAAAAAAAAAAAAATAGAGTTTCAATCGAAACGTTGAAAATTTCTGGATATGAGTCTCTTAAGAAGAGAGAGCATACCTCTGGTTGGTTGGTTTCTTGAAAAAGTTGCTTCCATGTCCAATTCGGTTGTCTCTCAAATAGCTCCATTATCATCGCTTCCACCTTACCACGACTGCTTCTACTCCTCCTTTCAAGCTTCACTGAAGCAGTCTTCTTCTTCACCTGTTTCATGGAGGTACAGTGTCATAAGAGTGAACCATCACATAACAGAACCAATTCTCTGGAAATCAAAGAGAAAGAGAGAAGCAAAACATTACCATCACAGGCTTGGGGATCAAGTGCAGTCCACGGCAATTCTCAAGAGCCTTTTTAGGTCATTTCAAAGAAAAGAAGTTTTATCTAATCAGCTTCTTATAATGGTAAAAAGAAAGACTATGATTACGTGGAATTGAACCAACCTGTGTGTGTCTAACTTCAGCCACCTGTTTTCTGTTCCTCCCTTGACAAAGCTTTCCGTATTCTTCAATGCCACAATGTGGTCTCATCTCGAGTTTATCTGTTACCGTTCCTTCCACAGCAACTTCACCTATTATCATATTCAGAACTTAGAAGATATGTCAATCAAGTGATAAGACTATAAACACATAAACCAAAGCCAAAGAGCAGACCTTGATTTGCTTCAGAGAAGATACTCATTGGACCACAAAAGTCTTTGGATTTGTTCACAGAATAGAGCTTTGAAACGTTCCATAACTCAGCACCAAGAATTTCCATAGTCAACTAAAACAGACCACCAAAAACCAATAAACCGAACACATTCAAGACTAGACTAACCACAACGATATATAGCTCATGAAATTTCAGAGAAATGGTTTTACATCAACGAATTGTAAAATTTTCCTCGAGAAATCGAAATCTGATTCCGTTTTCAACTGCGATTCCCAAATTCACTCTGACCTGACCTAAAAAGGATAAGAAAGAGGGGAGGATGCAATTGAATTACCTCGGGCGACAAATCGGGAAGGAGGAGGTTGACGGAGTCGGTATACTTCGCCATGGGAACAGAATCAGAAGAAGACGGAGAAGAAAGGTCGCGCCATGCCTTGACGACTCTCGGTGGACACTTCATTAGCCAAACCATTTGGTCGGCGTTTTCCGTCTCTAGTTCGTGAAAGTTCATTTGATCGTCTTCCATCGCTAATTCGATCAATCTTTCAATCGCTTTCACAAAATTCTTCTCATTTTCTTGCGGTTTCTTTCTCTGGATCTTCTGCATTTCGGATTTTCCCATTGTTTGTTTCTCTTCTGCGAAAGCGGGAAAACACAGAGAGAGAGAGAGAGAGAGAGAGGACATAGTAGCTTTATACCCGACCCGTCTGTTGACTGATAGGCCGAGGCCCAATAAGTCCTTATGGGCCCATTTTTATTTAGCATAACAAATAAGTAATTTAGTGAGGAAAATAAAATGTCATTTTTATACTGAGGAAAAGAGGATATCGTTTTTATACTTTTTTTTAATCTCTATATTTTGCGTCCAGAATTTTGATAATTTTATGATTATTCACACACAAGAAAAAAAAAGTAAAAATCCTCAATTCTAAGGGATATCAACCTTTTTCACATGGTTGTTTGATATGTATTGAACATGTTTTTTTGTGTTTTTTAGAAAAAGGATTTGATAAATAAAATGTCATATCAGTCGTAATCGAATTATATTAGGTTTACAGATGTTGTGGGGATGCATGAAAAACCTATGTTTTTTGAATATCTATGGAAATTTTAACTTTGACCATTGACGTTTACTATGTTTCTTGACCCATTTTAACTTTTTTATTTCCAACATGATTAACAAGTTATCCTCCACATATCAATAGTATCTACAAGCTTTCATTTGAACTGATAGAGAAAGTGGTCTGGCAAAAAAAACTGATGACATATTAGCTCAATTTCCAAATGGAAGTTTTGGCTGAATTATACAATTTGGTGACATAAATGTCAAATTGGAGTTAATCTTTTCTTGTTACCAATTAAAGCATATACTAACCAATCGTAAAGAGGCTGCACTAGTGAAAGTTTGAAACAAAAGGTGAAGCAAACTAAGCATTTAACAGATGAGATTTTTTTCTGCTAGCTACTTTAACAAAATGAATCTTAGCTGAAATAATACAACTGAAAGTGAGAGAATGCGAGAAGAAATCACATGTCGCGAGTCAGATACACTACAGTATTTGTGACACTTCAATCTTTTCCTCTGTCACCTTTAGATGTCCTAAATCAAGCAATCTATAACTATAATAATTATTATGATATTGATCGGATGAAAATTCCATCAAAAGCTTTAACAAAGAAAATTCAATCAAATGCATAAAATTCCATTAAGTAAATAGCAAAATAAGTTGGAAATCTTACCTTCAAATAAAACATTCACCTTATAAGGGAGGGTTGCTATACTTCGATCGACCAAACTAACTTGAAATTAATAATAAAACATGTGTGCATATGAATATGATGAGGTTACTCTACAACCAAATGATACATCATACATCCATGCAAGTAATTATGTAGAGCAGTAGAGAAGTAGTTAGTAGACTTGAATGCCCTAAATTATTCTCCATTTACGTTCGTCTACAACAATTAATAATTCACATGTAATGTATTGTCCTCATCAATAATTTTGATGATTTTTTCTTCACAATAATTAACTCTAACGTCCGATTTTCCACAATAAGTCGTCATCTCCATGTGGAACTACAACTTGTAAGTTGTTACTATTGTCGATTATAGATAAGCGAGCCAGCCATCAAAATTTATTCGACGATTAGTATTTATCCGATTTCAGGAAGGATCTTAAATTAACTTGTTTCGGGTAACGGACGAATTTGACACTCAGTCTCATTTTTGGATTTACATGAATTGATTAACACTCAAACTTTTAATATTGCATGAATAAATGTAAAAACATATCAAATGGTTTCTACTGTTTTACTCTGCGGATATTGGATTGGGTAGCATAAAATTTTTACTTTTACATAAATAGATTTGAAATAGTTTGCTCAATTGAACACGAAACCTAGTTAAGTCCTGTTTAGATCCGGCAAGCAAACGGATAAACTGGGAAAAAGCAGCTTCGAGTTCAACACCAGCCAGAAAGCTAATTCACTATCAAACCCAACTCTATTTTATACCAAAAATTTAACTTTTAAAATAAAGAAATCTCGTCATTTATCAAAAAAAAATCGTTGAAAAAGAAAACCAAGGAGTTATGTCGATCGCATTGGGAAGACCAATTATTAAAAGAACAAGCAGATTATCAAAGTTGAAACTCTTGACAGTTAACTTCATAAATAATCTCTCGTTTCTCCCCCAAAAAAAAAACATAAATTAATTTCTCATTTATATCTAAAAGAACGTACGATGTGCATGTTAATCAGTACTCAGAAGCCCTAGCTAGGTACGAAAGTAACCATATAGTCCGACAGCAACATAAAACCCTCGAATTAATCATCTGTAGTGGTTCTCTGATAATTATAATTAAATATCACAAAGGTTTTAATAAATTTAAATGTTTCAAACTCATGACCTAGGTGTTGCGAAAAAAGACGTACCACCGGCAACAAAGGCGTTGAACGGAGCCGCCGCCGCCGTGTATAGCGACGAAGGGTCAACCGATCCGTTATTAGTATTACCGGCAGCTACGACGGTTGTAGTGGCGGCTGAAGCAGTGGAGGCCAAGAGGCTAAGCTGGTGTTGAGAGGTATTCGTGGCGAGGCTTGAGCTGTAACGGTGGTGGTGGTCATCTGATGGACCTTGGTTGTAGAGAATGCCTTTGAACACGTGTCCTCCGATGCTCACAGCTGTTTGATATGCATACTCTTCGTCTTCATCGTCGACTGAACTAACTCTCATACACCGGAAAACCGCCGGTGAACTTATTTCCGGCGGTAATTGGCTTGCCTCTAACCCTAATTTCATGTAAAATAAATAATTATTACAGAATCCAAACAAAGCCTATATATTTTAAAGTAAACTTTTGGTTCTTGAATCAGATAATCGAATAACAACCAAATGTTTGTAAACAATACCAAACCCTTGTTTCATTTGACATAAATCCTTGGAAAAAAAACCTAAACCGTTTAGTTTTTAAAAAAAAGGTTTTGACTTTTCAGTCAAATATTTAATAAAAACCAAATCTTTGATAGTGGGTTCAAGTAGTCTCATGAAATCGATAAAAGCCCTTTGTGTCGTCAGGTTTACCGAAGAACAGTGACTTGAAAATATAATCATCATCAAAATCAAACAGCATGAAAAAAAAAAAGCAAAATCCGGTGGACATATCCATCCATCCATTCACTCAAATAATATTTGACAAAACAATCATACTCAGATCTTTTCATAACCCAACAAAAAAATTTGAATCTTTAATAAATTTCCACTAAATGTCTAAATATCGTCGATCAATCTGTTTAGGTTACTAATTAAAAACTCATTTTACCTGAAGAGCTAGCATTAACCACACGGGTGCAAGCAAGAGCCGAGCCACCACCATTTGCATCGTCCTCTCTATCATCATCGTCACCACCGCCTGAGCTAGCCTCTCTTATCCGCTTAGCTGGCACAGTAGCTAGCTGAGCCTGTCTCTCACGGCGTCTAGCAGCCGGGACCCACGTGCTCTTCACGTGGGTTTGGCAATCAAACCCTCGGCTCTTACAACAAGTACGGCATCTCATATGAGGACAATCTTTCTTGGCTTGATTCCCACAGTCTTGGCAGTTCATGTTTCCTTGCCTCGTTACCGTAAACCCTCCCGTAGAGGATCTCACCGGCTCATGATCGGAGACGACGTTGAAGTACAGACCCCGATTACTACTCCGGTTGTTGTTATTGCTTCCACCACTTGGGACCATACCAAAGGAGTAGAGATTTGTTGGAGGAGCCACAGGATTTTGTTGTTGTTGCTGCTGTTGAAAATATTGAGGTGGCCAAATCTCAAAACCCTTGTTGTTGTTGTAGATCTCGTCTTTGTATAGATAAAGATAGTTATTGCTCTTGTCTTCATTATGATCCTTGTCTTGATGATGATGATCTTGTTTGCTGTTATCTCTCCCACCTAGATAGAACAATCCAGCCATTTTTTCTACCTCCACATCACAAACACACACCAAGGAAAGAGAGAATTTATGAAACTGTTGTGGGGTTTGTTAATAAATTAATTTTGGGGATTCGAGTCTACCTTTTTTTTTTTTTGTTGCTCTCTAGCTAGCTCATTAATTTCTAGAGTTGGAGATGTGTTTGGTTGTTTAAAAGGAGCAGATTTGGGAGCAGATGAGAGAGTAATGATGGTGAGGAAATTTAAGAAAGTATACTGCAAAAGCCGCCAAGGTTTCTCTCTTCTCTTCAAATCATTTAAGACACTGATTTACTTATCTCTCTGTCTCTCTCATCAAGAACTCGAGCAATTTACTGCTACGACTGGTTTTCTCTGTCGAGAGAGAAAGAGAAAGAGAGAGAGAGAGAGTTAAGAGATGGAGAGTACTATGAAGATCTTCTTCTATGGGGCACTTTCTCTACAGTTGTCTTCCAGTTCCAATGAATCCACATCACAATAAATATCACGCGATACATATATACAATATAATAAATTAACCTATATAGTTTTTTTGTAAGATCATTTTTATTTTGGTTTTCGGAGCTATTATCAAACGCTATTTTAAAGTAAGTTCTTCTAGAGTAATCATACGATTATATACATATCCTCTCTTTTTAAAAAACTATATACATATCCTAGTTACCTAATGCTTTTATCTTTGTCACTATAT